TCCTTCCTTCCTTCCTTCCTTCCTTCCTTCCTTCCTTCCTTCCTTCCCTTCCCTTCCCTTCCCTTCCCTTCCCTTCCCTCTCTCTTTCCTTCCTTTCTTCCCTCCCTCCTTCCTTTCTTCCTTCCTCATCCTCCTTTTTCTCATTTTTAAAAATTTTCAGACTGGGTCTCATACTATAGACCAGACTGGTATGGAACTCTCAGCAATCCTCCTGCCTAGGATTACAGGCATGAGTCACCATGCCCAGTAACCTTTCTTCATTTTCAGTGGGCTGTTCTTGAGACTCAGAAAGCCCTAAGTTTGTTGAATAGACAGACATCCTTTTCATATCATATGGGTGAATGTTTCTTTAGTGTCTTTAGTATGTATTTACCCCAAACTATCTTTAGTATTCATTTACCCAAACACTGATTTTTGAAAGCCTCATTCATTCCTTAAAACTTTTACTAAACCTCTCTCTTTTAGTGTCCTTCCCCAGTGTTTTACCACGTAGCTATGATTCTCAAACCAAGAGTACACCTCAAGTATCATATAGCTGCAATGGGATCTCTGCTTCATGACTGTAGCTACTGCTTACTGTTGCGTGAAAACTGTGCCTTGAAGGGTAGCCTGCGTAGTCATCAAAACAACCCCATGCTGGTTGAGGACTCTCACGCTGATGATAGTGTTTCCCAAATTAAACAAATTTAGCCCAACTAAATTTTTTTCTCCTTTATTTGGGTCTTTGAGAAATCTTTGTAAAATCTCTAGCCTACATTATGTTGACAAGACCTCTATTTGTCATGAAAATGTTTGATTTTGGTACTAAGCCTTCTAAATATAACTATTGGCTTAGTGAATTTTATGATTAGAAAACAAAACTCACATTGGTTTTATTTCATAAAAGGAGATATTTTTGTGATGATTGGCAGCATTTAAAAACTCTGCAAATAAAAAAGAAAACTGCTTAAATTTGACAACTTCTCAGTCATACAGGAAAAAACAAACATTTCTAGTTCTAGCAACTAGCTAGTGTTCCATTTCCCTCTTTAGTATAGAAACTCGGCTCTGACTCTTTTTATTTCTCAGAATTGTTCTGGGAGAATCTGTAAATTGTGCATCTCCATCACACTAGTTGAGTTTGGTAAGAGCAAGCTTGACTAAGAGGTCCTTGGATATGCTTTTCTCCTTTATGCAGTAAACACTAATTTAAACCCACTAAAATGGAAATTCACGAGAACTGCAAGAACTCATGTGAAATAATACAGGATGAGAGCTGATTACAGCATTTGAAGCATCCTTCATGCTTCTCTCTTACACGCACACACACACACACATACACACACCCTCCTTTGTATTCCCCACCCCCCAATGATTCTTCCCAGCAAAGAAAAGAGTCAGAGAAGGTGAAAATTTTGTCACAAAAGCCCACCTAGCACCAAGGACTTCAGAGAGATGGCTAAAGAAGTGATGGACACAGTAGTGCAGGAAATTTGAAAAGATTGAGGAAAAGATAAGGCCTTAACACATAATTGCACAGAGCAGCAAGAAGTCAGTAGGGAAAGCTGTGAGGAAGCAGCATATGTGAAGCAGATGATATCTGAGACAATGGAGGGGCAGAGAGGGTGGTTACAGGTTCAAGCTACTTATTTAGGTCCCAATACAACCTTTAAAGTCCTGAAGACCCTTGGCTGGGGCCATTGTATCTGCACTCTTCTTCCATGTAGTACAGCACTTAACCACAATAAGAGATTGGACCTGTTCTTATACATCTTGAAGAGAAAGCAGTTTCCAACTTTTCTCAAGTGTGTGTGTGTGTGTGTGTGTGTGTGTGTGTGTGTGTGTGTGTGTGTGTGT